GAATCTAATGGAATCGGAGCCATTCCACGTCTCCTCTGCCCCTTCTTCCCAGGTCATGTCCTCAGGTTCTGTGATGTTTGTGTAACATGCGTGCGTGTGTGCTCTCGATCCACTAAAATCTGAGCTTCCCCCTCTCTTCGTGTCTGAATTAAACCAAAAAGCTAAGTGAGCCCTCTGCCCAGGAGACCAGTGTTACCTTGCACACAGCTAGCACCTCCGAGTTGTCATCTAATTAAGCCACACTCCCAAACAAAGCGCATAACAGTGTCACCGCCTTAACAATGGCTGCCTCCCCTGACAGCCCCTCGCTGCCACTGCCGCTGCCACGCCGAGCGCCGTGCGGCTGTAAAACAGATGATCCCCGGCTAAGGAAGCCGCACCCCAAAGCAGGCCTCTTCCTTCTGCGGCTGGCCCTTGAGCGTGGAGTCGTTGTAAGAAGTATGCTAGGGCTGGGGACAGAGGGAAGAAGCAGGTCGATTCTTTAATCAGCCCGATTTTCTGGTATGTTCTACCAGTTAGCATCCTGGAAATCCCCCCTTTCAAAGCACAGGCTGTGCTGCTGTTTGAAGTCCCTGCGTACCCTGCTGTCGGTGGCTCCGTGCGTGCGTGCTCAGCGAGAGGACGGTGAGGGTGGAACTATGGAGGGAGGGCGCGCTGGTCTGCGGGGGCTCGAGCCACGTCTGCGCCTTGCTTGATCGGGGGCCGGCAGGGAGGGGCCACGCTCCAGGTAGCGGGAGCGAGGCCCACGTCCGCGTGGGGAGGTGGAAGCCACCGGCAGCTTCCTGGGGGCCTGCTTCCTGTTATTCGCTAGGCTTGAAAGGGAACGGGAATTAGAATAACATGGCTTTTTTTTCCTTGGGAGGGGGTCCCCTAAAATAGTAAATGATCGATTAATTTGACCTAGTTCACCCTCTGCATCCCCCGAAAGGGGCAGGTGCTGAGGGACAGGGGGAGGTGTGCCGCCTCCCGCTGCCTTTGGCACCAGGTTTCACTCATTAGCTGATTTTAAGGGGAAAACCAGGAAATGCGGAAGCAGAGGCCAGTGTGGGTCCTGGAGAGTCGGCTCCGGTTGGAACCCTGGCTGCCCACCGCGCCGGCTGCGACTGCAGGGCGGGTCGCCTCTCCTCCTCCAGCCTCCACGGTCTCCTCTGTAAAACGGGACTCGTGCCTCTCACATAAGGCCGCGGGAGGACAGACTTGAATGAGGCGTGTGGACACATCGCTTAGCACGCTCTCCGACCCAGAGCGGAGCCCTCGGTAAAACGCAGCGTTATCTTTGTTGTGTGATCCCGCCTCCCATTGAGAGAGAGAAGAATGCCGCAGCCACGCTCACGTGGCCAGTGCCAGCGCACGTGGAGCGTATCCGACGCAAACCTATGAGGCTGTGCCAGCGTGAGAATGTGGATGGGGAGGGGCCCGGCTCCCACCGGGTTTTTCTGACCAAGTCTCCTACTTAGAATTCAACCCGTCAACGCAAAGGGTACCGAAGAAAAGAATGAACTTGGGGAATGTGCCGAAGGGTGGGGAGGAGGTGCCTATTAATTCCGAAACCCAGGTAAAGCATCTCCCCCCGACCCCGCCCACCTCTGCTCCTCGCGAACTTTTTGTGGTAAGGAGTTGACTGCTAAGGACATATCTTCTTATCCGCACGTTGGCTCTGGCCTGTCACCCCACAGTAGCCAGGGCACTGGGAGGAGGCGAGCCGGCGTTGTTGAGTCCTACCCCTGTCATCCTTAGCACCACTGCATCATGTGGCGCCTGGCGGCGCGGCCCAGGGGCAGCCTGCATGAGAACCACCAAAATGCAGATTCCCGGGCCCCTCTGAGTCAGACTCTCCCAATATGGGGCCCAGGAGCCATCGTTTCGACAGGCTGCCCGGGGAGCTAGGTGACGTGTGAGACGCGCTGTCAGGCGTCTGTCCCAGCTTCCCTGGAGCTGGCGGTTCTGTGGCAAAGGAGGAAAGTGGGACCACCCACGCCCGGCAGACTCGGGGACCCGAGGCAGAGGGCAGCCCCGCAGGTGCTGGTCAGAGTCCAGTCCTCTCCGGGGCCGCTCGAGCTGACTCACTTCCTAGGCTTTAAGGGGGCTCTGTACCACGTGGTTTCCGTCGTGCGTGTCTGGCCAGGCAAGTTCACGCGTGCTTACAGCACCCGGGAGCAAACCTTGAGGGCGGTGATCCCCACCACGATCGCTGATAGGTAATGAAATCAGAACGGTCCTTCCTAACCAGCACGACTGCATCTGCCTCCCCGTGGTCTGTGACCTGACGGCGGGCGGAGCGCCCCGTCCCCCAGGCCCCCGTCCCCAGCCCCGTCCAAAGACCCCTCAAGAGAACTCTCAGAGGACACAAGGGTGAGAGGAACAGCACTAAACAATTGCTCTTGTTTGTTTTGGTGTTTAAAAGTCAATCACCTCTACATTCACATTCGAAGCAGCACCGTTCACGTGGCCAAGTGTCTGTCCGTCCATCGATGGGTGGCCAGACCAACGTGCTCCATCCACACAATGGACTACAGTTCACCCATAAAAGGAACGAAGTTCTGACACTTATTACAACTTTGAGGACGTTGTGCTGAGTGAAATAAACCTGACACGAACGGACAAATCCTGTAAGCTCCCACTTACAAGAGGCGTTGGTTCTTAGAATAATCAAATTGCAGAAACAGGAAGTGGAACGGGGGCCGCCACAGGCAGGGGGAGGGGACAGCGAAAAGCTAATGTTCTGTGGGGACAGAGTTTCAATCTGGGAAGATGAAAAGTGCTGGGGAGGGACGGTGGCGGCGGTGGCCCAACAGTGTGACTGTCCTTAGTGACGCTGAACTGTACACTCAGGAAGGTGAAGAGGGAGCCCCGGCTGGCGGGGCTCAGCGGACTGAGCGCCAGCCTGGGAGCCCAAGGGTCGCCGGTTCGATTCCCAGGCAGGGCGCAGGCCTGGGTTGCGGGCCAGGCCCCCAGGAGGGGGCGCGCGAGAGGCAGCCACACATGGATGTTTCTCTCCCTCCCTTTCCCTCTCGCTAAGAATAAATTTTTTCTAAAAAGGGTGAAGAGGGCAAGTTTTATATGTATTTCACCACACTTTTTAAGAAAATATTTAAAAGAAGGACAAAAAGTCAATAACCCGCGCAAGTCCGAGTTTTACTAGTAGCCACACGTGACTTGGGGCACACCTCACAACGGCTCCAAGCACCGCAGCTTGTCAGGAGGCCGCCTCGCTGCCACTCCCGAGTCTGGCCGTGGCCCCTGCCGAGCCCGCGGCCCCTGGGACCCTGCGGCGCTGGAGGCGGACCCCGCCCAGAGGACCGACTGGCGGGGCTCTGCGCCTCCTCTTCATTTCCCTCCCGTTCCCGTTCCCTGGCACATATCCAGCCCATAATTAGGCAGATTCTCCAAGGAGAGGAAATACTTCCTGCCCAAATGACAAGCTGTGGATTAGGCAGCTCTCTTCCCAGATGTGGCATTTGTCTCCCTGGCACTGCTGCTGCAGGTGGCTCTAGCTTGGCTTGGCCGGAAAGCCCCATCTGAGTGCCTCGTCCCCACAAATGCCTTCTTCTGCTGCGGCTGCTTCGGCCCAGGGCTCCCGTTTCCGAATGGGAGGGGGCGGGGGTGTCTTCAGAACCCAGTGACGGGCCAGGGGGAGCCCTTCACCCTGGTGGCTGCTGAGCTGTCACCAGGGACTGTCCAAGGCTCTGACCAGTGGCCACTGTCATCTGTGCAGAGCCCAGTGCAGAGTTGACAATAAATGGCTGTCGCAAGGACTCAGTGGTTGATTGGGAAAAACGGGGAAACAGCCCAGCCCTACCACTGATTTCATGGAAAATTCATGCTTTGCAGACCCTGGTAAGTGATTTCCAAGTGCTCGCATCTACCGTTCAAGTGCTCCAGGAGCTCCGTGCACGCAACCTGGGGTCCTGTTTTCAAGGTAATGCCCTGATTTGGAGTTTACAGACCAATATACGCGACAACAGCTGACATTTTGATGTTGTAATGATCCCAAACAAGCGTCCCCGCCTCGCGGAACTCCCCGAGGTGGCCTGGTCCCCTAAGGCAGACACAGGCCAACTTTAAACGGGGGGGGGGGGTTCCTTCACACGAGCACGAATGCCCGTCAGTGACTAAAGCACGGCACTAAGCCGAAGAAGCCAGACACAGACGATTGCACGTTCTAACAGCGCTCTTCTACGAAATGTCCAGAAGAGTCAAATCCACAGAGACAGAAAGCAGAGCGGCCGATGGGGAGCGGGGAGTGGAGGGTGCTGTTTGGTGGGTGCCAGGGGTCCTCCTGGGCTGGCGGACGTCTCCGAACCCGAGAGGGGGTGGTGCGTACCGGGGGCGTGCTAGATGCCACTCCGCTGCACACGTGAAATGGTTAACGGTGTGTGATGTGGATTTCGCCTTTTCGTTTGTGAGAACGGGCGCCACGCCGCCGCACAAACGATAACAAGGTGTGTGTGTGCTCATTCGGGTAAGTCTGCCAGTGACGGCCCCCAAGATGCAAACGCGGGTCCGTCCAGGTGAGGAAGGCTCTGAGTGCCGTCCCGCCTGCTCCTTTGTTCCACAGCTGGCTTCCCTGCTGGCGCGCGGGCTCCCCAGAGGACGGCGGGGGTTCTTTCTGTCTCGTTCCCTGTATGCCTTGTACCTAAGTTGGCTCCTGGCACGTAGCAAATGCCAAACAAATGTGTGCTGAATAAATGAATGGCAGCGGCTGCCGAGCATCACCTGGCCTGGGTGCTGTGAGAGGGGGGAACTCTAGGTCGTCCCTTCTCAGCCTGGAATGAGTGCACAGATACCTGAGACCTTGTTAGAGATTCCGAGGTGGGTGCTGTGATTCTGTGTCTCCAATAAGCGCCCAGGGGCATGGAGGCTGTGGTCCACCGTCCACACTTTGAGAGGCAAGAGTCCAGACATGCCAGACCCAAGCCACGCCACTGCAGCAGGTTTGGGGGTCAGGTTCCTGGGCCATCTGTCTCCCCAGTCTCACTGCTCATTCAGCCTCCCTGCACCCAGAAGCCTGAGCGCTTGCTGGTTCCCCTGGGGAGGAGGATGAAGGCAACCGGCCGCTTCTTCCCATGATTCCAAGGGAGGCTGTCATTTCAAGAAAAATGCGTCCATTCCAATTCAGAACACTTGGTGTTCGACGTTTTCTTGTGTGGCGGGGAGAGGGGAGAGCGGGAGCCTGTGGCCCCCAAAAGAAACATGCTGTTCCTTCTGCCTTTGTGTTTCTGAGCATGTAAACCCAGTTTGAATCACAGCTAATGAACAGGCCGTCTTGTACTTCCCAAACAAAAACACGTCGTACTTCAGTGGGACCGCAACCGTACATTAAAAAGCTGTCAGCTTCCCCACAATTTCCCTGAACCTTGCACCGCAGAAAGATACCTTGTCACTCAGAGTCGAGTGCGGTTTTACTGAAATATCTCCTCGTCGGTGTAAATAATGAGCAGAATTGCCTGAGACTATCCGGCCCTGTCCTCCCCCCCACCCCCCGACACGTACGCAAATGGCAGGTATGTGGGTGAGAGTCTCAGCGCTCCCCCTGAAAACAAAGGCGGGTGGTCCCGCCAGGCCTGCTGCTGGGTGTTCAGGGTGCAGAGGGGTCGTGGAGGGCAGTGAGGGAAAGGAGAGCATGGTGGCCGTGATGAAAACAGGGGCCTTCGCAAGCTGCAAACCGCGGAGGCGGGGCTGCCACTCAGCAGCTATTCTGGGAACACACACAGGCGTAGCAGCAGGCGCCACGCGGGCAGACGGGTCCTGCAGAAGGATGGCCCAGACCCTGGGCGCTGCCCACGCAACCCATGGGGTTCAGGACCGAGGCTCGGCGACCGCTCCGCCGCATCCCGTTTGTGGGATGCTGGCCCCTTCACCTCTCGGAGCCTCAGGCTCTGCGCCTCTCGAGCGACAGTAAGGAGGACAGCCTCACAGAGGGGTAGCAAAGGAGCTGATGAGGGCCAAGGTGCTCTTTGAACCCTGGGGTATAACCCAGATGCTAATCCTGGCTGCCCGCCGCTAGCCTGGAAGGCGAGGCGTGGGCTCTGGCACCAGCCCCGCTGAGGTCTGGGTCTCGGCGCCACCTCTCAGTTGCCAGCAGGGTGACGTCAGGCGCGTTGTTGTGCCCCTCGGAGCCTCGGTTTCCTCATCTGTAAAATGGGGTAACAACAGTGCCCGTGCCTGTGGTGGTGGCACTGTGAGGACTGGATCTGAGGATGCGTGTTTACACTAGCGCCTCGGTAGGGCAAGCACTCCGAGACCGCAAGCTGCTATCGCTGCCGCCGCCGCTGCCACTGCGATAGTCCTCGCTGAATGCCGACGGTGACGGCAACGTCGGTGCCAGCAGTGATGGTGATGGTGATGGCGGCAATGATGATGGTGATATTGATTATCCTCATAAGAGCAATTTTAAAATAGGGGTGGGGAATCGCCCAGGATATCCACCCCCTATATATAATTGTTACCACTTTCCATTTTTCAGAGTCCCCCTTCCCCCCGGGCCCTGCTCATGGATAAGCATCATTTTTGCAAAACTGTACCCAGACCAGAGGTAGAATCTTGTGTCCTGCTCCCACCCCCAGCCGCTGACCATCATCACACATGCGCATTTCCCACACGGCCGGAAGCCTTCGTCGTGGCAGCTTTCCGTTGCCGTGGCATTAGACCTCCGGCGCTCAGTGCAGAATGGTGAGACGGGCGTGACCAGCGTCTCTGAAGGCTGTATTCTTTTCGGAACCTTTTCTTCCCCGAAACCATTCTGCGTCTGTCTTCACGCCACAAAAAGAGAGGCAGGGGCTCAAAGCAAGCGTGGGAAATGCTCATGTCGTTGACTGGAATCAACTAGCCAACACCACTTGATTTGACCCAACTTGATAGTAGGATGGATGGTGGCCCCCCCAAAAAATATATGTCCCCTGATCCTGGGAATGTGATCTCATTTGGAAAATGGCCTTTGCTGATGTACTTAAAGGATTTTGAGATGACATCATCCTGGATTTATCTGCTTGGGCCCTAAACCCAAAGTGTGTCCTTGTAAGGAAGGATGGAACACAGACAGAGCAGGAGGCCATGTGACCACGGAGGCAGAGACTGGAGTGATTCTGTCACAAGCCAAGGAACGCCTGGGGCCACCAGAAGCTGGGAGACGCGAGGGAGGGCTCTCAGGGATTCCCAAGGCAGCATCTTGGTTTCAGTCCTCTGGTCTCCGGAGCTGATGCGTGTCTGCTGTTTCAAGTGCCCCGGCGTGTGGTCCTCTGTCACGGCAGCCACGGGGGCCGAGTGCACCTACCAGCTCCACAACCAGACTACCCTCCCCCCGTGGCCTGGGTTCCCCGCGCTGAGGCGTGGGGGGCCGAGTCCCACAGCCTGCCCGTCGTGTGCAGGCTCACCAGCCTGAAAACGCCCGCCTGGCAAGGTCTGCACTGGGCTGAACTCCGTTTTCTTCCTTTCGCTAGTCCTGTGGGCCGCGGTGCCGATGAAGCCACGAGCTGAAATCACCAAGCATTTAAGGGGCTGAAATGAAGGCGGGGGGCCCTGGGGCGCCTCCTGATATTGAAGGGTCAGGTCACGCCAGGCTCCACTAAATGCCATATTGATTGAATTCTTGCCATCTTGCCGGAACCAAATGCTGATAGGATCAGCGTTAGGGCTGCGTGAGCGCAGCGACCTTGTCTCCCCAGACGCCACTCGGCGACTGCCGCCCATCCCCGGGGGGCTGATGCTTTCGGCTGCAAGCTGGGCTCTTGGATTTGGGGCCAATCCTCTGAAGAGTGTTTTCAGATTCCTTTCCTTTTTATTTGGTGCCAGGTGAACACAGGCCAGCCCCTCTCCCTAGAACATTGCCATTATTGACAAGTGGAGATGAAATTTCAGGCGACTGAAGACACGCTCCTGCCATGCCATGTGGCGGTGAATTAAGAGGGGGCTTCTGGAAAATTTTTGAAAAATCTCTCCCTCTCCCTCAGACCCCAAAATGGAAGTTGCAGCATCAAGTAAATAAATAAAATAAGTAGGCCATCTCGCAGTGACATTTTCATTAGCCCGCTCTCTTTCTGTCTCATTAGCCTTCACGGCAGAGGAAGGATTGTTTTAATTAGCAGGTTTGAAGTCTGCTCCGGCCGCCTCCCCTCCTGCTGTTGCCAGGATTACCCTGTCGGCTTATAAATACAATACAAATCATTCCAGCCCACAACACCGCCTCAGAAGGCCGCAGAAGAAAGGGGGCCCACCCCAGTCCATGTTAAGTGTCTTGGAACAATGTTCTTTCTCTAGACACGCAGGCACGATTCAAGCGCTTTATCGGCCTCGATCAAACGGTTCAATATCCTCTCATGGAAAAGCTCATTCTTGTTCGGGAACAGCCGTGCGTTCCCTTTCTCCCGCCGGCCGGCTCGATGGGATTGCTCCTCCCAAGTCCTCGTTTGGATTTACTGGTGAAATGCTCAAATCAGAAGGCTGACCAGGGAACCGCCCAAGCCTCCAGCAGCTTCCTACAGGGTGCTCCTGGGCATGAACAAATTGTTTTTCAGCAACACAAGGTTCTCCACAGAGAGTTTGCTTCTCGGTGAGGCCACAGGGCAGGCTCGTGGGCCACGCCACACTGAGCGCACAGCTACATCCTCCCCAGGGAGAACCCGCTGTCTTTAAACCTTGAAATGAAAACATCTTCAGTTTGAACTGGAAAATGAGTCTGGATATTCCCAGAAAAGCCAAGGTGACTACTTACTAGGAAACTGTCTCCCGGGTACCCACTAAACCGATGACTTACTCACTTGTTTGGTAAACGTTTATTGAGCACCTAGTTTTGCCAAGGGCTGTGAGCGCCGGGGGTAGAAGGCGAACGAGACCTGGTTCCTGCCTACATGCTAAAAGCAATGACAGAAACACACGTGAGACACACAGAGGCAGGGGGCGGGAGACCGGAAACCCTCCGAGAGTGCGGACAGGGCCAGGAACAGCTTCCGAGGGAGGGCACTCGGCTGAGACTGAGACCGTGGGGGAGGGGTGGCCACGCGAGAGCAGGAGGAAGGGCGAGCAGGGAAGCCGCATCTCAGGCCGGGAACCGCCAGCCCGTAGGCAGGTGACAGTGGCCCTGAGCCACGTGAGGGGACACAGTGCAGGTGGGGAAACGTGTGGTTAAATCTTATCAGAGCAGAAAGGTGAAAGCAACTCATGAGTTAGGCGAGGGCATCATGAACACTTTGCTAAACCAGAGTCTAGATTCTGCCCTGTAGGTGACAGAGGACCATTAAAGACACCAGGCCCTGGCCTGAGTTGGTTAGAGCATCATCTCAATATACTAAGGTTGCATGTTCGATCCCTGGTCATGGTGCATAGAAGAATCAACCAGTGAATGCATAATTAAGTGGACAACAAATTGATGTTTCTGTCTCTCTCGCAAGATTAATTTTTAAAAATATTTTATTTATTTTTAGAGAGGGGAAAGGAGGGAGAAAGGGAGAGAAACATCAATGTGTGGTTGCATTTCGTGCGCCTTCTGCTGGGGGCCTGGCCTGCAACTCAGGCATGTGCCCTGACTGGGAATCGAACTGGCAACCCTTTGGTTCTCAGGCCGGCACTCAATCCACTGAGCCATAATAGCCAGGGCTCTCAAAATTAATTTTAAAAAAATATGCCAGGCTTACACTGTGGCACCTAAGGATAAAACGGGGCCACCCATGCATGGAAGTCTTGTTCACGGCAGTGCCTCCCACAACCAGTCACTGAAGGAAACTTCAAACCACCAGCGCACCCATTTATTCAAGAAACATTCCAGAGTGCCGGCCCATCTGTGCCAAATGCTGGCTGAGAACTTGCACTGGAGAAATAAAGAGACACAGTCCTCACCCACAAGACACGTGCGGCTCACTGCAGGCTGAGCGTGGGGGAGGGGCAGTTCCAGGGAGTGGGCCTCTGCGGTGGAGGCCGCGCAGAGCGCTGGGAGGCGCAGGCGCCCTTTCGAGGGGAGAAGCTCTCTGACATCAGTCTTAAAGAATGTGCAGGGACCTTCCGGTGGGCCGTGAA